ATCCTGTAACTAATAAAATTTGTTTTCGAATAAGGGTAGGTTTATATATCAAAAGCTGCAGCGTCTCAGCTGCACTAGTGCATTAGAGTCGCTGTAACTGTTTACTTAAGATGCTACTACACTGATGGGAGAGCTTCTCCCATTGGCATAGTTAATCCATGTCCACAAGAGGCAGTAGCAGCTCTCCAGTCAACATAGTGCTGTCAACACCAGGGGTTAGATTGGTATAATTACGTCTCTCAGAGGTGTGGATGTTTCCACAGCCCTGAGCAATGTAGTTATACAGATGTATGTTTGTAGTGCAGGCCTGACCTAAGCTCCATATTCAAACTGAAAATCAACTGTGCAACACACAGCTATATCTTGGAGACTTTTTCAAATAGTGACTGATATTTTTAACCTTGAAACCTTAAGAAGTTCTCATCCAATGCAATTTAACATGTCTTAAAATACTCAGCAGTGCACACAAGAAGTTACATTATTCCCCCTACACACACAAGTGGATTTTGCAACACTGAAGTGTAAATTACAAAGGTCACCGTTCATTTTCGCGAGAAACATTTTTTCATTAAGCTAGTATTTTTCCAAAGCAGCTATAGATTTTCAAACATGTTTCCTGTTTATGTGAGAACTCTTTTTTGAACTCCCATCCACAAAGATACAAACTGCATTACAATACTTGTGACCAGAACTGATCTTAAAATGAGTCTTCTCCCCTCTGCCCAACCCCCTGGAAATGAAAAAAGGTTTACACAGAAAAGACAATCAAATCCTGCAGATATTAGGAATTTAGGGTGACATGTTCCACAGGATAATTCGGAAGAGACCGTCTTTCCCATTTGCCATGCATGGAGACAATGCTAATAAAACAGTATGAGGTTTAGAGTCTATGTTTAAAAAAAAAATTAGATTCTTACAATACAATGTAAACTTGACAGCATCGGCTAAACTAGGTAAAAAGCATTTATAAATAAGCAGCTCTCCGCTTTGTTTAAATATAAACAGAAACAGAACTCTGCAGCCTTAGAACTTTTACAATTCCCAACAGGGCACAATATTGCTGCAACATTACTCAAGTTGTAGAAGGATATGGACATTATATATCTATATGGAAGTGCTGTCAGCGTGCTCAGTGCTGTACAAGTGTGCACTTACTTACCTCTTTGTCAATCAGCCTTAGTGGGTATTTCACTTCAGGGTCCTCCAGGGTAATTGCAGGAGGGGATTTCCCAAAGAGTCTCATGATCAAGCTGATGACTACGCATAATGGGTAGGTCACAATCCTTCCAAGCTGCAACAATGCATAAAGACAAGAATATTAACATCGCCATTTGTTTCAGTGAAGTGATACCATGATGATAATGTCATGTCAGAAACAACCCATGAGACATATCCTCCGTTTCTGCATGCTTATATTATGAACATACAGAAAAAAGTCCATTCAAAGATACCTCATTGCAGTAAGTACAAACACTGGTTTACCATATAAATAATGTAGTGGTTTAGATACACATTTAGTTTGCCTTAGTCTTTCTAGACTCCTAGCACTCAGATATCACAGCATGGAACAGATTATAGACATGTTGGTAGACAGATTTATTCTGCCTCGTTTTCATGTGTCCAGTTAGTCATTTAGAACAAGTCTTCTCCCTTTGCAGAGGGTCCATGCAAGAGTGGCATAGGCCTCATAGGAGCCCTCTGTGCGGGAACAGATTTTAAACATAGAGCCATATTGTATCATTCTCTACATGGTCTACTCCCACACAGCAGATGGGGTTGTGATGGGTTCCCCTGGGGTGCCACCTGATACTGGGGTACCACTGAGCCCTCTGACCCACCAGCCTGGGCTCCCTCTCACACTGTGCTGCTGTGACAAGTTGTAAAGCCCTCCAAGCTTGCACTTTCACCAGCATTCACACAGGTAGGGACACACCCAGCTGCAGTTACACGCAGTTAACCACCAGCCTCGGACCCCAGAGCAGTACCGTCCTGCCCTGGTTAACTCTGGCCAGTGTATGGGTTTAACACCTGGTCCATCTCTCCCTCAATGTGAAGAGGACCATGCACACTTGTGGTAACCAAGCTGAGATTTTCTCCAGACACCTTAGTCAAATGCACACTGGTTTAGATTAAAGCATAAAAGAAGTTTATTAACTACAAAAGATAGATTTTTAGTGATTATAAGGGATAGCAAACAGATCAAAGCAGATTACCTAGCAATAAATATAAATAATACCTAGCAAAATAAACAAAACATGCAAACTAAGCTTAATCAACAACATAGGTCGGATATGAATAGCAAATCCTCACCCTAAATGATGAGACAAACAGGCTGCAGATTCTTAAAGGGCAAGCTGCACTAGTTTACAGTTTGGAATCCCCAGGCAGGTGTTCTATTCACAGGCTAAAAATCCCTTTAGCCTTGGTACAGCCCTCCCCCCGTTCAGTCTTTGTTCCTCAGGTGTTTCCAGGAGTCTCTCTGGGGTGGGGAGTCAGTGAAGAACCACAATGATGTCACACCCTTGCCTTAAATAGCTTTTGCATATGGTGGGAACTCTGTTTCAAAGCTTGGTTCCCACGCCAGTCAGTGGAAAAACACTGATATTCCAAGAGGGAGTCCAGTCCCAGCTGACCTGGTCACATGTCCTTGTAGAGTTACAGCAGCCATGAGTCAGAGGCTGTTCCTCAAGAAAGCTCCCTGCCTGCAGAGTTGCCAAGTCTCACAAGATAAGGGAGATAGGCCCTTCCCAGCCAGCCATCTAGACCGAGAGCCTTTTGCCTAGTGGGCATTCCCCAGGTGTAAACACATTTGTAATACAAATATAAAGTCAATATTCCTAACTTCAGATACAAAAATGATACATGCATACAAACAGAACAATCATATTCAGTAAATCATAACCTTTCCAGTGATACCTCTCATGACTTATCTTTTATAAAATACATTATGATTATATCATAGTCATATCATAATAATATCACTGAAGTGTCACAGGAGTAACTGGGGTTCTCCTTGCAGAATTTTCTACACTTTCTTCCCCTGGGGATGGGGAGTGAAAGATTTTGGCCCTCCACCAGAAGGGTAGGGGATTCAATTTTCTCCCCCCCCCCCCCCCAAATGTTACATAATACTGCATCGGTGCACTACAACTTCCAGAGGGAATTTAAGACATGACTGAGCATTTTTCACTTTCACTAGCTTATAAAACAAAGTAATTTGATTGGCTGTTTTCAAGTCATAGTGCTATAAATGTGATTGCTATTGAACACTGTAGCAACGCGTGTCAAGAAGCTACTGATTCTGCCATAAATGGTTGTTTATATTAGACCATTTTAAGTTTGTTATGGAGGCATCTGCTGAAAAAAAATTAAATGAAGTTTCTAATGGATCTGAAGCTAACAAGACTATTTACACTTCCATGTTTCTGCAGCACCATTAGATCTCAACTCAATGCAGAAGCTCTCCCATCAATATAACGCTGTCTACACCAGGAGTTCAGTCAATATAACTGTGTTGCTATGGGCTGTCTATTTTCCACAACCTTGAGCAACAGTTATTCTGACGTAAATTTATAGTGTAGACCAGGGCTAAGAAGATTGTTCATTAATTGCTGATGCAGCAATAGCAAAAGGCTATATATCATGCACAAAAGGTTACTTTTTATGTTTCATGTCTTGGTGACAGAGATGGACAGAATAATGAATAGAAACTCCGGATTACAGAAGATTTTTGAGGCCAACCAAATTTTAGGCCTAACATAATGTTACATAGGCCCTTTAAAGATGCAGTTATTAATTAGCAAAGGAGCAGCTACAGCTAATTAAATGAGCATAGGATTGGGAATCAGGAGCCAAGGCTCTATTCTCAGCTGTCACTGACATGCTAAGTGACCTCAGGCAAGTCACTTCACCTCTCTGTAAGTCAGTTTCTCCATCTGTAAAACGGAGCTAAATCCACCCCAGCTTTGTGAACAACTTTCAGTCCACATACGGCAAGTACTGTAAGTGCAAAATATTATTGTTACTCATTAAATTGTTATATCATATTTACATCTTCATCTGAAGCACATGACAATCACCACTCCTGGAGGCAGGGTGCTGCACTACAGATCTGTCATGGTATGGTAATTGCTACCATTAGTTTTGAGCCACACGACTAATACACTGTCTGCTTCATAAACGCAGAATGGAAGGCACTTTGTTATTTATGGTCAGTTAATGCAAGAGCCTCACAGGATTCTGCTTCAAAGGAAAAATAGAGTAGGGTAGTAGTTCAGATACATTCTGATCCAGCAGCTAAAGACCCATTGTCAGCTGATTGGAAAAACACAGGCTGGTTGCTTTCCAAAATAATTCATCACTCTTCATAAGAAAACAGGCCTGAAATATACTAGCAGGACAAACAATGTTCTGTACTCTCCTAATAGGGCATCAAACAAGACATAAATCAAGATAGCTCCCTTTAAGTCAAAGGAGCTACACCAATTTACATCAGTTGAGTGCCTGAGAGAAGGCAAGTTCTCTTGCCAAACATTGCTCTGTCAAGTCTTGCTCTCTGGTAGCTAGGATGTGCCTCGTTAGAGATAAATTATTTCAGAACAGAAGGTTTTATTATTGCAATTAAACATCTTGTTGGGGAACAAGCGTAAATATTTTATGAAAAGTTCTACTTTTAACAATGGCATTTTACTACAGGACCAGGATCCTCGGCTCCTGCACCGGGGTGTGGTCAGTAGCATACAATGAAATACATTCAGAATTATAGCCTTTAGAACAGTGGTGGGCAATCTGCGGCCCACCAGGGTAAGCGGACTGCGGGACGGGAGACATTTTGCTGACGTTGACATTGTCCAGGAACAGCGAACCCCGGCCACTGGGAGCTGCGCATGCGGACGGTCAATGTCAGCAATATGTTTCGCGGCCCGCAATCAGCTTACCCTGATGGGCCGCAGGTTGCCTACCACTGCTTTAGAGAGTACATTTTACAGCCAGGAGCTACTGCTACTAGGTTTATCTGGAGGGAGGGCAACACCTGAGAGCAGTGTATCTATCAGGCATATTCTGAGGGAGATAATTTATGGCAAAATACTCTGTCACTGAATTGTAACAAAATGAGAGCAATTAAAAACCTTTCTAGGATAACAGGAGTACTTGTGGCACATTAGAGACTAACACATTTATTTGAACATAAGCTTTTGTGGGCTACAGCCCACTTCATCGAATGCATGCAGTGGAAAATACAATAGGAAGATTTTATATATATCTATATATATACACACACACACACACACACACACACACACACACACACCATGAAACAATGGGTGTTACCATACACACTATAAGGAGAGTGGACACAAATCAGATGTCAAGATTTATAACATTCAAAAACCAGTTGGAGAACACTTCAATCTCCCTGGCCACTCGATTACAGACCTAAAAGTCGGAATATTACAACAAAAACACTTCAAAAACAGACTCCAACCAGAGACTAATGAATTGGAATTAATTTGCAAATTGGACACCATTAAATTAGGCTTGAATAAAGACGGGGAGTGGATGGGCCATTACACAAAGTAAAACTATTTCCCCATGCTTATTTCCCCCTCCCCCCACAGTTCCTTACATCTTCTTGTCAATTGCTGGAAATGGGCCATTTTCATTACCATTACAAACAGTTCTTTTTCTCTCCTGCTGATAATAACTCACCTTAACTGATCACTCTCCTTATAGTGTGTATGGTAACACCCATTGTTTCATGTTCTCTGTGTGTATATATATATTCCTACTGTATTTTCCACTGCATGCATCCGATGAAGTGGGCTGTAGCCCACGAAAGCTTATGCTCAAATAAATGTGTTAGTCTCTAAGGTGCCACAAGTACAAATGTGTTCTTTTTGCGGATACAGACACAGGCTTGGTCTACACTACGACTTTAATTCGGATTTAGCAGTGTTAATTCGAATTAACCCTTCACCCGTCCACACAACGGAGCCATTTAGTTCGAAATAGAGGGCGCTTAAAATCGATTTCTGTACTCCACCCCGACGAGCGGAGTAGCGCCAAAATCGATTTTGTCAATTCGAATTAGGGTTAATGTGGCCACAATTCGATGGTATTGGCCTCCGAGAGCTGTCCCAGAGTGCACCATTGTGACCGCTCTGGATAGCAATCTGAACTCGCATGCACTGACCACGTAGACAGGAAAAGCCCCAGGAAAATTTGAATTTCATTTCCTGTTTGCCCAGCGTGGAGAGCACAGGTGACCACAGATACCTCAGCTCATCAGCA